AACAGCCACCCACTCACATTTTTCTAGCCCACAGGCTGTTTCCCTGCCCAACAAATACCATCCCATGTTGCTGCAGGCCTATCTGTGGCGCTAACAATATCCTGAAGACAAGACGGTTCAGGAGTTCACATTTTTATGAAGTTCCTCTTTTGCCACCTGTGTTCTTTTTGGACTGGCTTAACATTCCCCAGCCCCGGAGAACAGGCTGCAAGGGAATCAAGCCGGACTGACTGGAAGCTCGAGGTCCTTGTTCTTGTTGTTCTCTTGAATCTGTGTCTGTAATCCCCAGGAATCCGGCTGTGGCGTGTGCCCTCTCACGGTTTCCTGGGTCCTCAGCGACTTCCTGGCACGGATAGTCTCGGGGTCCCCAGGAGTACCACCTCCCCTGCCCTCCCGCTGCCCTCCGCCTTGCCTTTCTTTCTTTCCTGCCCCTGGGGCTTGAGCCTGATGTGCAAACACACAATCGGTCTCCTTACGTAAGTTTCCTGGTCCCTGAGCTGGGTGACTCAGCACGGGGTGGTGCCTTGCACTCTCCCAGCCCGGGGCAGTGCGCTAGCAAGCTGTCATGGAACACCCAGCAGCCTCCCTCCCCAGTGTGCCTGCTGAGCCCGTGAAATCCGTGGGGACCACCTGAGGGCCTAGTGCACCGACCCGTGGGGGTGGGATTCATCTCCCTGCCCACATCCTGCTTCTTCCTCTCTTACCTTTGGCAGAGGGTCACAGGAGCCTTACGTTTGGTTCTCCTTTGCCCTAAGGCTGCCACTTTTTGGGTCCCAGCTAAGAGCTGAATGTTTGCGTCCCTCCAAAATTCGTATGGTGAAACCCTAACCTCCCCCACCCTTAGTGGGATGGTGTTAGGAGGTGTGCCTTTGAGAGGTGATTGGTTTGCTCACTCACTTACTGGCTGCACTGGGTCTTCCTTGTGTGGGCTCTTGGGGCAGGCGGGCAGGCTTTCTCTAACTGTGGGGCACAGGGGCTTGCCTAGTTGTGGCAGGCATGCTTGTCTGTGGAACACCGACTCTGGAGCACACAGACTCAGTAGCTGCAATGTGCGGGCTTCTCTACTTGCGGCGCATGGGCTTTGTTGCACCATGGTATGTGGGATCTTGAAATCCCCTGGTAGCTCAGTTGGTAAAGAATCTGCCTGCAGATGTGGAATCTTTGCTCCCGAGCAGGGATGGAACCCATATTCCCTGCACGGGAAGGTGGATTCCAGGGAAAGTCCTGAGAGGTGGTTAGGTTAGATGAGGTATTGAAGGTTGAGAGTCCGCCTCTCTCTGCCGTGTGAGGATGCAGTAAGCAGGTAGCCATCTGAGAACCAGGAAGAGGGTCCTAACTAGGACTCCACCAGGCTGGCACCCTGATCTTGGACTTCTAGCCTCCAGAACTGTGAGATTAATTTCTGTTTCACCCACAGAGTGTCTGTGGTATTTGGTTACAGCAGCCCAGTAGCCCGAGCCGTCAGTCCCACGGGCCCGAGTGAGCCCTCATGTCCGGGCTCTACCAAAGCTCAGGCAGGCCGCAAATAAATGCAGGAGGATACACCCTTGATGTGGCTTGCTGGGACCCAGACTCACTCTCTCCTCTGTCCCCAGGGCCCAAGCACAAAGCAAATATACTAAGAACACTGGTCATAGAGAGGACAGACTTTGGCTGGTTCTGTTAGGGGAACCACACTGACTGAAACTGCCCACCCTGGCCAGGCACCATAGAATCATTTGTATGAGTGTTTTACAACAGGAGGTCCTGGTAAGGAACACAGAACGAATAAGCCACCACCCACTGGAAGAGTTCGGGAAAGGTCACAAAGAGACACCACCTGTCTGACCACCTCCCAGAATCCTTCTCTCTGGCATCCATCTTGGCTGAACAAGGCATGCACCACCAGGAAGGACTCTGAGTCAGAATGATTGGCTAAAGGCAACCGGAAACTAATCCCATCAGCATAAAACCATGCTGCAAGCCATGTGGCAGAAAGTTCTCCTGGGTTCCCTTACCCTCCTGCTCTCCACCCAGGTGCCCTTTCCCAATAAAATCTCTTGCTTTGTCAGCACATGTGTCTCCTCGGACAATTCATTTCCAAGTGTTAGACAAGAGCCCAGTTTCGGGCCCTGGAGGGGGTCCCCCTTCCTGCAACAGTTCTGTTCTTGGGTCTGGTTCTCCCTCATTTCCCTCTTCCGTAGGCATATTATTAAGTTTCCTTTCCTTTACAGGACAGGGACAGGTGCTGGCATCCTGTTGATTGCTGGACTAGGAGCCAGAGACCTCAGATTCTAGTATAGGTCTTGTCACTAATCAGGTGCTCACAGTTAAGCAGCTTGCTTTTTCCCTCTGTGTCCCAGGCATGCATCGGAGCAACACCTGCCTTAGAACTGTTACTCAGGCATTAATAAAAACTGTGTGCTGGCTCCTCCAGGGTTGCAGTATGGTGCTTAACCAGAGAGCTTCGATGGCTGCCCTCCTAGAGCCTGCATTCCAGAGCGAGGAGGTGACAGAAGAAATAGGTAAATAAGAGGATTACTGATTGTGACAACTGCTCTGAGGGAGATTCAGAGGATGAGGAAACAGCCCCTGGGAGGAAGTGATATTTATTCCAAAGCCTCCACCTGCAAACTGAGAAGGGGCCAGTGCTGCAACCTGGGAAGAGCAATCCAGGCAGATCCAGATTGTAAAAATGCTCTACAAACTATATAGTGCAACGCAGTCATCAAATTTAATAGGAGTTAAATCATCTTCAGCCTCTGTGGCTTTGCTGTGCATTCCTTGATCAGAGCCTGGAGCTGGCGTCACTGGCCAGTGTCTGGAAGGCAGTGTAAGGACAATGAAAGTCCCAGGGTGTGGTGGGAAGAAGGGTTGATGAGTTCTGCTCTCTCTGAGGACGAGATGCTCCAGCCTCTCTAGGCAGACCCATTTCCTCCTAGTGTTTCGGGTCTTTGTCACCGTGCTTGCAACATGCAGCTGGCATTTATGGAGCACCTGTTGAGAGACAAGGACTCCCCCCTCCTCTGAGCAGGAACTCAGGCCTCGGGAAGGCCCCCTCTCCCAGCCTGTCCATGTGGGTCCATGTTGGCTGCTATTCATTTGTTTGTTATTTTGCTGTCTGGCTAGATCCCTTTGGGGAGCTGGTGGGGCTCCAAGCATGCCTCGACTGTGAACTGAGGGTGTTTACCACCCAGACGGGCCACTCAGTGGCCGGAATGTTTCCACGTGTCTTCTTGGACAAACTTCCAGGGGCCTGTGGAGCGGTCATGCAGTGTTATCTACCTTAGGAAACGCCAGCAGCAAAGCTCTCCAGTTGACCAAGTGAGCAGCCTCAGCTCAAAGGACATAGAAGGGCCACTGCTTCACGTCCCCTCAGAACCAGGGACGTGGACAGAGAGCCACAATGCCGGAGTCCCTGGCTGTTAAGCCTGCAGCCCACTCTGCTATTTTATGTTCCTTCCTTTGGTGCTAACATTCTCTAGCTGTGTGACTTTAGGAAGATGGTAGTTTTCAAACTTCGACAGGCATCAGAAATCTCTGAGAGCTTGTGGAAGCACAGCTCCTTGAACCTGCTGAATCAGTAGCTCTTTGAGTTAGGGGTGCAGGAATTTTTGTTTTTAATAGGCATTGCAGAGTGATTCTGACTCCACGTAAACCACAGCTGGGGAAATGTGACTGTTTTAAAGTCATGATTCAGTTCAAACCTCCCTTAAAGGACTAACGGTTCCTCAGGGAACCCTGGAGCCAGGCTGCCAGGCAGGGGTCCTGGAGGCACCATGAGAAACAATGCCTCCTCCAAGGTGGCCCGATGCTTCCCAGAGTGTGGGGCCCAGGGTGTGTGCTCAGTAATGCTGACTGTATGGATGAAGACTTGAGACTTGGAGAGATGGAAAGGGCAGTTGGGGGTGGGCTGTTAATTACATTTGTGCTGCCAGAATGCAAGTTTTAGAAAAGTAGGGGCTTATTCTTAATTATTCCCAGGGCCTGATCTGTAAAATGCTAAATGAATTAATAACACCACCCACTTCTCTCTCCCTTGGGAAAGACAGAATGTCTGAAAGCCCAGTGAAATAGACCTACTGTGTCTGACAAAATTCCCTAATTCCTCAAATATCTGATTTAAATGGACTCAAACAGGGTCAATGTTGTGTGATTAAAAAATAAACTCAGGTTAGGACATCAAGGTATTTTTTGATACCCAGTGACAGGCAAACACATCAACTGGGTGTAGCAAAGTGAGTCATGCAATTTCTATTGTAATGAGAAGGGTGGAATAATTGATTTCCCTGTCTTCCCCTTAAATATCAGGGCCAGAGCAGTTAACCCATCAGGAAAAGTTACTAAATAACAAACTTCATTATAAGCAAAGATAAAGCAAATTAAACTCCTACTGGAAAACCATTTTAGACCCACCATGTGGGTAAATACACAGTCTGACAATAGTGAGTATTGGCCAGGATGCGGCCAACAGTAGAATAAAAACTCTAGTTGGCTGCAAGTGGTCAAGCACTTAGGAGAAAGAATTGGACAACCTCAAGCAAAGTTGCAAATGTGCCTGCATGTTTCATGACTCAGCATTCCCACTTCTAGGGAGTTACTCAATTCTTTTCTCCCCCCAAATTTCTCTTTATCTCTTTCGTCACCGTGCAATCTAGAAATCACTTTTTAACTGAGGAGAAAAACAGTTTCTTCCTCTATTTATACTCACTAAAAGAGAAACCTGGAGCCAGGTTTCCTAACTCCAAAATGTTAATAAATAAGTAAGTAAAAGGCGTTCACATCTACACTTCACCGAACACTCAGTTTGACGCGGCAAGGATGGTGGACTCACCTCTGCCCTCAGTTTGTGTCGTACATGCAATCACCCACTCCCCTGAAATCAGTAGAGCATGGGTTGCATCACAATCAGGCTAGACTTCCCTTTGCTCGTGACTGTTCCTGTGAGCTGTCCTTCGCGTGCTCAGTTGTGTTGACTCTTTGTGACCCTGTGGTCTGTAGCCTGCCAGGCTGCTCCATCCATGGGACTCTCTAGGCAAGAATCCTGGAGTGGGGTGCCATGTCCTCCTCCAAAGGATCTTCCCGATCTAGAGATTGAACCCACGTCCCTTGCGTCTCCTGCATTGGCAGGTAGGTCCTTTACCACTAGTGCCACTTGGGAAGCCTGAGCTGTCCTTTAAGATATGCTATGCTTGGGAGGAGTCCTGCCCTGACTATTGGATATGCACTTATAGTTGTGATCATCACTTATGGTCAGAATCTCAATTCTACTTTTATTTCCTGGTGAGAACTCCTTAATCTATATTCAAGTTAGTGTACTTAGTTAAGGTATGTGGGTGGGGGCTTGGTCCGCATCCAAATAGATGCAGAAGAGAATGAACCCTGAAATCTCAATCCATCAGCAACATCGGTTGTTGCATATTGTGTGTTCATCAGACATTATGTATGGTATTGTTTCTTTTTTTACTGTTATAAATGTGCAGCCCATGTCTTTTGAAAGGCTGTTGAAAGGTAAATGCTTTGCCTGTCACCATTATCCAAGACTTTGATTCCATATAATAAAAAGGGACTTAGTACAGAGCAGTGGTAACTTAACTTTCATGGGAAGATGAGGAAAGAACAAAGGGGAAGTTAACACGTAAAGAGATACTCCATTCTTGCACGGGTTTCCAAGTGCTGCTGATGCTGCTGGGCCATATTTTGAGACTGCACACCGCCATCTGGACCCTGTTAAAATGCATCTTTTGACCAGTTATAGGAGGAGCCTGGGAGGGGAGAGTTCATGCCAAGGGAGAGGAGAAGTCAAGACAAGTTGACCTCAAAGGTACCATGGAAAAGGTAAGGGGCTCCAGGACAATGGTTGGGCCTCTTTCTACTCAGAGAGCCTGGGCTTCAGAGATAAAAGGCTACTTTTCCAACAAGGAAGCCACGGTGGATAAACAGATCTCTTTCCTTAGCTGCCAGAACAAGCACAGCTAGATAATAGTTTGTAGTCTCCCAAACTAAACATCCATCATACCTGTGACTTGCAGTAGTGATTTGTGTTCTAAATAGTCTACCTTCAATGTTGAAAATTCTCAAAGATCTAAACCAGAGGTTAAAGGGGGTGGTGGGGGGCAGGGCAGCGGGGAGGGGAAATCTCATTTTCCTCCAAAATCAGCTTTTCCCAAAGTGTATTCTGAAGAATATTTGTTTGATCAAGTCACGCCGTGACAAAAGCATTTCATATTCAAATGAAACAACAGCTTGCTGAAAGTCATATCCTCTTCTCAGAGATCCACAGGAACATGTCTGAGCAGTCTTATGGCCAAGAAATTAAGTTTAGATTTTTTTTTTAATTGCAGTATAATTGCTTTCTGGAGAAAGGAATGGCTACCCACTCCAGTATTCTTGCCTGGAGAATCCCATGGACAGAGGAGAGCCTGGTGGGCTACAGTCGATGGGGTTGCAAAGAGCCAGACACGACTAAGAAAGTCACACATAATTGCTTTACAATATTGTATTAGTTTCTGCTGTATGACAAAATCAATCAGCTATGTACATACACACATACATCCCCTTCCTCCTGAGCCTTCCTCCCACCCCACCTCCCCATTAATTTAAGATGGTTAAGCTCAGTGTTTGGAAATAGGACCAAAGAACATTTTTGCTTATAGTACAAGTGCTGTGGCACATATTTAGAGAAGCACTGCTTTTGAATACCTTCTTTCTTCAAAGAGAGGAATTTTGTTTTGTTTGTGATGGAAACTTCATGTAGGCATGCAAGAACAAGCTGATAAACCACAGACACACACACAAACACCCTAGGATGCCTCCAGCCTCAATCCCCAGATAAGCAGAAGAGGAAGTATCTGAAATGACACATTTTGGTTCTCTTCCCCTCCAGATGTGAAGCTGGCCTGAGGTATGACAGTAATTGCTCCCTGGGTGGGACACAGGGGAGGGGGACTGCTGCTCTCTAGTGAGGCAGTTAGGATGGGTGGAGGAGGAGGAAGCTCTGGGAACAGATGATAGGCAGCCGGGAAAGCGCTGGCCTAGCGAACACCAAGTGGAATTTTCCTCTGGAAATCCTTTTGAACTAAGTGGATTTGACTGCTGCACCCCTGGTTGCCTAGATCCCATGGTTAAGTGATTTTGTCTTCATTTTCCAGTAATGATTAACACTGCTGCGGTTTGGGGACAGTTTATTCAACTGCGGTGATGGAAACAAGGAGAAAGCCTTTCCTCACACCCCTCGGCAAAATCTACTTTACACTTCTCACTGACGGTGGGAAGAAGAAGGACGCTGAAACGTTCCTGTGTTTGGAAGGACTGTCAGAATCAAATACTTCTGAAATCTTAAATACTTCTCAGTGTCTCATGTTCTTTCTAACAAAGCACCCATCTGGGGCTCTTGGATGATGTTTTCATGAGTCATCCCAGTAAAACTTCACAAGGAGATGGTGCTTTTAGATTAGGAAGTATGGACGGCCAAGCCCAGATCTTTTAAGGGCAGGAACAGGGGAGAATGTGGTCTCTTGTCTCCTATTTTGATGGAGATCTCTGATGCCCCCCAGCAAGTTGTCCAGGTCCCACATTTCACTTTGAATAAACAGTGGGATGTAACAACTAAGTGGGATCACAGGGTCACGGCTTTAGGATGAGATGAAATGGCACTTACACAGTGCCTGCAAGGCAGGGAGCACTGTACTGCCTCCCCCCAGCAACCAACCAACTCTAAAACGCATGGCTCTGTTTTGTGATTTTCAGAAGTTTGTTTACAAAAGCTTTTCTCTTTCCTCCCCATCTCTCTCCTTCTCTCTCCTCTTTCTTCCTTCCTTGTTTCCTTTCAATGAAAAGAAGAAAGGATAACAAAATATTGCTCATTTGGGAAAGGTAACAATAGAAAGCCAGCAAAAACTGCATCTGGGTCTGCCTTGCAAAGCAGGGGATGTGGGTTCGATCCCTGGTTGGGGACCTAAGATCCCACAGGCCATGGAGCACCTGAACCTGCGCGCCACAACTACTGAGACTGCATGCCACAACTAGAGTCTGTGTGCGGCAATGAGAATCTCGAGTGCTGCAACTAAGATCAGACACAGCCAAATAAACAAATAAATAATTAAAAGAAAGAAGAACCTGCATCTGGGAGTAAGGGGAGAGCTTCCTCTTCCATGACAGAGTGGAAGCCTAGAATGTCAAAATAAGAAGGGACCTCAGGGATTGTCCTGACTCATCTTCTCAAAGAAGATGGACCCAAAGGTTGATCTCTTGCACAGGACTCTTCATGAGAGCACTGCCGCTTTCTCTGCTCCAGGCTGGAAGCAGGGTGGGGCAGAGTTTGTTAGGCAATGTCATGAGTTCTGCTACAGTTCTCTCTGAAGCAGGGGTGATGTGACACTTTTGGAACCTCTGAACTAGAGCATCCTCTGGATCGTGCTGAGATTTGGTAGGCTTGGGCGGACAGGGTGGCTGAAGTAAGGATGAGGTGTGTTGTTGTTGCTGATGCTGTTTAGTTGCTCAATCGTGTCCGACTCTCGTGACCCCACAGTCTGTAGCCCAACAGGCTCCTCTGTCCATGGGATTTTCCAGGCAAGAATACTGGAGTGAGTTGCCATTTCCTTCTCCAAGGGATCTTCCCAGCCCAGGGATCAAATTCATGTCTCCTGCACTGGCAGGTAGATTCTTTACCACTGAGCCACCAGGGAAGCCAAGGATGAGAAAACCAGCCTGCAAAGAAAGGCTCCTTATCCTAAAAACCAAAGATATTGAAAATATGCTTGATGCATTTCTAAGCACTCAGCCAAAGTAAGTTTGCCAAAATCACAATGTTTAAGGCTTCTATGATGGAGTAAGAGGGACACAGAGCAAGGTGTGGAATACCCCTGGCTCAGGGAAACCCACCAGAACTCTTACATCATCTGAAACCCCTGTGTAACCCCATTTTTCATGAGGTGATGGCTGAGTTTAAACGCTGGACCTCTCAGCCATGTTGTGAAAAGTAGTCTCCTACAAAGGATGACCACCATGTAATTCGAGTTCTGTAGCTAAAACAAACCCTCCCTAGCTGACTCCTCCTTCAAGGGGGGCTCTTCCTGTTCATAGTTTCATGCCAGTCAATGCTATGAAACCACTGGTACAGAACATGGCAGCGTTTGTTCTAGATACTTTATTCCTTATTCTTGTGACAGATGGATATTCTGTTATGTGAACTTTTCTATGGTTGGCAATATTATCAAGTATCAGTGATTTGTTAACCACATTCCTCAAGTTAATAAGCAATGACAGAAATTGTTAATTATACCTGTGACTACGGTCATAAAAATCATTTTTAAGGCAGAATATAGAGATTAAGCGATGAAGAGGCAGGGACGGTAAGAGCAAGGGAAGCGGAGGAGACAGAGTTTTGCAGGTGACAGAGGGTGGCAGTGGTGGGGTCTCTAAAATCTTGGCCAGGACCTAATCTAACCATGAATGTTGTTTTCTCTGAATCTGAATAATGTGATGTATGAACAAGAGTTAAAAAGCACGGGAAAAGTGCATTTCAAAGAGTAGGGGTATTAGTATGAGGTTTACAGCCTCAAAATGAATTCCTGTGATGGAACTGACTCACACTGGATACAACACAACTTGACAAGCTCCTCAGTTACAGTCACAAAGAAGGGGCCCATCAGGAAAGGAACCTAGGATTGCTAAGGACATACAGGCCACCAAATGCTAGGGCTGGGAGGACTCTGGAGGTCATCTAGTCCTTTCTCCTGCCTTACAGTTCTCAAGACAATGAGTCAGCTGGTGGAAGGCAGGGAAGAGTGGGGAAACTACTGTCTCTGATTTTGTCCTAAATATCTCAGAAATGAGGATGATGTCTTGCCCACCAAGATGCTATCAATCTGTTCTAGTATTTAGTTTTAATGGAACATAGTGCATGGATTAGAGTGACTCATATTATTGAAGGCACATAACGTTGTATCTGGCACCATGTTGAGGATATGCAATGCATCCTACCCCATTCAGTACTCACACCAGCCCTAATAAGGCAGGTACTTTGTTATACAGATCAAGAGGTCAAAACATAGAAAGAGTCAATAACTTACTCTAGATCTAGCAAGTGGCCGAGCTAGAGCCCAGAACCAAGTTTGCCTGATTTTACCCTTCACACTCTTAACAGTCCTATTCGACTCCCCACTGGCAAGGAAGTCTCACTGCTATGAAATGATTCTCTTTTTATGCTGAAAAACTGGTTTTGATTGATGGGTCAAAAGACACTTCCCTTACAAATTATAAGAGGTTCATTATTAGGGTTTCCAGATTTAGCAAATAAAAACATAGAATATCTGATAAATTTGAATTTCTGATGGAGAATTTTTTAGTTTAAATATTTTTAGTATAAGTGTGTCCCAAATATTACAATGGAACAAACTTCACTCTAAAAGACTATCTCTGTTTATCTGAAATTCAAATTTACTGGACATCCTGTCTTATCTGGCCTCTGTATCCATAATGAATGAGACCAAGTTGGTGAGTTTAGTCCTCTGCGGGCCACTTCGTGCTGCTCTCTCCCATGGCTGACCCCTATCTACTGGGAACCTCTTCATCCAAGGCTTCTGTAAAGCCGTTCAGTCTCATAGTACCTTGGTATCTACGTTTTTGTTGTTGTTTAATTGCCAAGTAGGGTCCGACTCTTTTGTGACCCCATGGACTGCAGCCCACCAGGCTCCTCTGTCCATGGGATTCTCCAGGCAAGAATCCTGGAGTGGGTTGCCATGCCCTCCTCCAGGGGATCTTCCTAACCCAGGGATGGAACCTGTGTCTCCTACATTGGGAGACAGATTCTTTACCACTGAGCCACCAGGGAAGCCCTGTCTATGTACATCATAGACTGATTTATTAATTTTTAAATATTTTTATTATTAAATAGTTACAGAAGAATATATGTAACCATTCTAGTTACCAGGCACTGATTCAAAGGTTATAGGTCTGTTCAGTATTGTTAAGATATGGCCACTTGTTTTCCAACATGGTGGTATAAAAACTATTCTTCCACACTGGTACGCTAGTTCCCTGTGTTTAGTATCCTCACTGCACATGGGATATTGTCAGACTTTTTAACTTTTGCCTTTGTAGTGGGTATGAAGTGCCCTCTCACTGTGATTTCAATTTACATTTCTCTGATTTCTAACAAGGTTAAGCATCTTTTCACAAATTCATTGTCTCTTCCTCTTCTTCTTTTCAGAGTTTTGCACTCCAACTATGTGCTGGGCTCTAAAAGTCCGTTGTACGGAAGAGACTTGGAGATAGTAACTCAAGGGAAGATCAAACAGAGAAGACTCCAGATACGGAGTGCACATTGATCCTCTGTGAGCACAATGAGGAGACTGTGCTTTGCACACAGCACTGCCTAAAGGCCTGGAAACACTGCTGTTGCTCCACCAGCACTTAGCAGCTCCCCACTGGCAGCCCAGTGTTGGAGAAAGTATTTCCAAGTCACACAGACCTGGATTTAAACTCTGTTTCCTAGCTATGTGAC